ATTGGTCTCATCATCAGGAGAGAAGAGAAAGGTCCATAAAGAAGGTGACATGTGAGCTGAGAATTGGTGAGCAAGCAATTACCCACCCACTGGACAATATGGGGAAAATCATACCAAAGACACTAAACTCTGGTTGGGGGTAGAGGGGAATTGTCCCATTTCTTCCTCTAGTAGACAATCTCATTATCTTCCGGTTCTGTATCCAAATCAGAAATAAAGTTTTGTCACTGGGTTTGAAAATCCCCAAAAGACCCATCCACCCATGAATCCACCCATCCTCCACAAACCCAAACATGAAACAAATAATAATTGACAGGGTTTTGTGCCTTGGGCCATTCTCTATGCCTGGAGACGGTGCAATGATCAAAAGAGGCAAAAATCCCTGCTGTCACGGAGACTATGTTGGAGGGAAGGCAGAAATTGTACAGATAGTTATGAAATGTGGTGTCCTAAAATCAGATGGAGAAAGTGCTTCGAGGAGGCGGGCGAGATCCACGAATGCTGCAGACTCTGGCTGTCAAGGGCGATGGGGACTGAGCCTCAACCACNTGTACTGTACGAATGCTGCAGACTCTGGCTGTCAAGGGCGATGGGGACTGAGCCTCGACCACTGGATTTAGCAACATGGTGGTGACTAGTGACCTTGTCAAGCAGTTATTCTACCAATAGCATGACTAAGTAGTCAAAGTGGATTCAAGTGAAAACGGGAACATGGGAATTAAAGATAACAGATATAAACAAGCACTTTTATGGAGTCTTTCTGTAAAGAGGAGAGAAGTGGGTCATAGGTGGAGAGAAAATTAGTGTCAACAGGTTATTTTACTAAAATGGAGAAGAATTGTTTAAGAATGAGATATCAGTGTCCAAGCAGGAGTTGTGGCCCAACTAGAATTAGTCAGAGTGGCCACCACCAGATGGGATGTGTGACTGGCCAGCTCGGGGCACCCATCTAATTCTGCCACACTGGAAATGGAAGATCTGTCCGCTATTCTGAGGTATGGTTCTATGAAAATACAGTGGTATTTACTTCCCAGAATCTCCTGACCATCTTTCAAACCTTTGCATTCTCTGTTTTTGTTTAACCAACAGTGGTAACTATCCAAACTTGAAGCAAAAGCAAAGAAAACAAAATGACTCTGATCCCTTTGTGGCCTGTGAGGCTAAAAGAGACACAAGCGCACATGGAAATCACCCAGAAAGCCCCAGTGGATAAAGCATGAACTGACTAGGTTGGCAGCCCTGCAGCTATAAAAGCCTCTCCAATGCTCTGATCTCGAGACCATAATGTAGGAAAACCCCAAGTCCCCTGAAACCCAAAAATCCAAACACAAGGTCATTTTTATGCCCTTTAGAAAGTTCTGCCAAAAAAGATCTTATGCACCATTTAATGGAGGGGGCAATTTCCTTTACGCACATGTAAATCTTCAAATCCAAGTAATTAACCCCGCACACATCGGCCCCTCTAATGGGTGTCTGAGAATGAACAGACGCACATGCCATTCCCAGCCTGACTTAAACACAAAGAGAAGGAAAGAAATGGATTCTGAACTTGCCCACACATCTGTGAATTACAAATATTTATAGTATTCATAAGGCCAGCAACCTTCAGGACAATAACATACTTTGCAGATACTCACTAAAAAAAAAAAAGAAAGAAAGAAAGCCAAAATTCCATATGGAAGAGAAAGGAAGGAAACAGAGCAAGGTTTTGGGAAACCTTCCAGAAAGGGAATTCCGGTGCATCCTAATGTGGATNGGAAGAAAACAGAGCAAGGTTTTGGGAAACCTTCCAGAAAGGGAATTCCGGTGCATCCTAATGTGGATAATGGGAGCAGACCATCCTCCTGTGAGTGAACTTGGCTGATGCCAATGAAATGCATGTGACACAGCAGATCAGATCTGCACGGGCCCTTTCAGATCACCTCACAGAGATTTTCCATCAGGCTGACTAGACAATAGGGTAGCTTTAGTATTTCTGACATTATTAAGAATGACAGGCTAAATCTTTATCCCACAATACAACCACGAAGCATGTTTAAGCAAGTGATGTACCCGTATCAATAATACGTGGAGAAGTGAACAGCAAATACCACAAAATGAAATTCCTATCAGCACAGTGTCACCAACTAAAACACCAACAAGTCAGTAACACATTTTTTTCATATGTAGTCTCTGTCTCCAGAAACTCAGTCCAGTTTCTCATTGTCTGTTCCCAGTCTCAAACTTCTCTTACAGCCAAGAAATCTAGAAAACCAAGAAAAGTATAGCTGGAGAACCGAGCTGTGGCTCAATCTGTCCAAACTCAGGTGAACCTTCAACTCAGAAAGAAAATCTAGTTAATTCTCTATCTTTACCTATAAAAATATAGGTCAAGGCTGTGGAACATCTCAAAATGAAGAGGTTAACCTTTCTCTTTACCTAACCGAAAGAAAAATAAATAAAAGAATGGAAAAAATTTCTGTTGCCTGGCAGTAAACTTGGTCTCTATTTGTAGAATGAAGCAATGTGCAACTGAGATCTTTTACCCATACAAATATTTTAATTATCTGAAAATGCTCATTAAATTAAAAATAAGGATTGATTTTTGTCAATGAGGAAGAACAGAGGCAGAATAAAACTGTGAGAAATATCACAAAAGTCAATATCTATTTTTATATAACTGAACTGTTTTTCTGAATTAAAAAACTGAGTATATTTCATAAGATTAGAAGAAAGTAACAAAAATTTTTTATTATTTTTCTAAGCACTGGTTGATATAATTATAAAGAAGAAAAAAATTGGCAACACTGCAATAAACTTCTTGCAAGTGAAGTGGAGAAAAATACAACAAAGAATTAATATTCTTAAAGTCTGTTAAAATCTGAAATAAAAATTCTGAATCTCAGAAGCTTAGCAAGTATAAAATAAAAACAAACAATTCTCTCACATGTGTCCTCTCTCTCTCTCTCTCTCTCTCACACACACACACACACACACACACACACTTTCTCAAAGTAATGGCTAATAATCACATAAGAAATCAACCAAATAACATAATGAGTAAACAGTGACACATATTAAAAGGAAGGAATACTAACAAATTGACAGAACAATTAATGTCGATACTCAGTGAGGTGTCAGCAAAGCAAAATCTCCAGCATAGTATTGGCGAAATATACATAAATATCTACCACACCTTCCAAAGCCAATTAGCAGTCTCATTAAAACTTCTTGGCTTTGAAATAGTAAGTCAACTACAGCTATTCTAACATAAAGAATTAACCTTTAACTAAAAGAAAGCTTTACAGTAACGGCTGCTATTATTGATAAAACAGGTACTTCATGAAGCAAATTTCTGCTTTTCACAAGGCAGGAGATAGTGTGACCTACAAAGAGCTAGAAAGCAGTACTGGAAACAGGTGTAAGGCGTATGTGCTTGTCATGATTATTTCAGCATTGTCTATTATTTTTCTTAAGTGAAAATAATATATATGTCCAACAAAAAAAAAAAAAAGCAGTAAATTACATTATAGAACCTTCACATAGCATGATGCATTAAATGAGGGTCATTAACAATTTTCAACAATATATTTTATCATATACATATAATATACAAGTATATGTTATAACAAGTGTAAAAGCAGTGTGCAAAATTTTATGTCCAGTATTAATTCAACTCTGAATTACTAATCAAAAATATACTATAAAAGATTACATTAAATGCCAACAGCAGTTGGTTTTGGTGGAGGGATTGTGGGTGTATTTTGCCCTTCCTTTACATTCAGTAGGTTTACCATTGTTCGTATGGAAAATAACATAATAATTAATAAATAATAATACAAGAATAAACTCCATGTTTAGAGTACTCACAACTGTAAACCTACTTTTGCCCCACCCTATATTGTCTATAATGAGCATTCACTATTCACTACTTCAATCCTTTTTTTCATTCTTTCAGATTGCAAACATAAAATTGGAAATTTTAGATCATGAAGATAAGGCTCATAAAGTGCCACCATCCTCAATTGCAGAGTTAATCTATTTACAATTTGATATGTATTGGTATACACCTGGTAGACTTTATAACGCATGACTTGTGGGTAGAGATTATATGTTTGCATGTTTGTGTGTGTGTATTTTTTAAGATGAATGGGAATACATTAAATATTATTCTGCAATTTCTTTTTTGCAATTAATAAGGTACTATATATAGCTTTTCGTTACTTTTAAAATCATAATTTTATTTTTTAGTATCATTGCCATTAAGGTAAAGAACACGTCTCCATTACTCATGGAAAAAGTACATAGGAACCAGTGGCTCTTGAAAAAAGGCCTTATCTCCAGAAGTTCTGCTATACTAGGCTCATGGGCTTACTATAATTATTTACTTCTATGAGTAAATGAATGATTGAATAAATGAATGAACAGATGAACAGAGTAGTTCCCTGCTTAAACTCCTTAAAGAAACACAAATTAATTGGTTTTTCTTTGCCCATTCTTTTAAATGAAAACCTGTTAAATGAGCCTTCAGGTGTCAGAGTACCCTTTTAAGAAAAAGTAGGGGGGAAAAAATTGCTTTATTTGATGTATGTGGCAAGGGTCCTCATGTTTTCCCATGATTTAAGTATGTCAGTCCTGTTCAACCTTGACTCTTGTAGACATCTGCTTTTGCTCGTAATAAAAGAGGGATATTTGACACCAGAACACTTTTGTGCAATGTAATTATCAGCCCTAATACATATAAGTAGCAGTATGTACCGGGGTGCAAAATAGAACTGAAACCAAGTGACGAGCACACTGTGGGCCAGGGGTGCTGTGCCCATGGCACCCTGTCAGAGCTTTGGATATCCTGAGTAAGGGGTTAGTCCAAAATACTTTTGCCAGAAAGATCTGTCTCTCTGAAAGCTTCCCCATTCATGCCGTTTTTAGCAGTGGAGATGAGTGAAGCTCACCAGCTATCGCAGTATCTGAATCTGTAAAATTGCTGATTCCTTCACTTCCCACTTAGCTGTGTGACTTACCAAGGAGGAAAAGGCTGGAGCGTTTCTTCGATCATGTATCACCCTAAGGATCCAGAGCCATCTGCTCACTGGAGCCCAACTCTCACACGCCAACACTGCGAAAGAGAAAAGAAAGAAAATGATCCCTTTCGCCCAGTTTAAAAGATGCTGTGCTCATTGCTTATCAATTCTACAAAGTTCCATTAGTGCCATGCACAACCAGATGAAGCTGCATTAGCAATGTAGGACTGAAAACAGAGTGTGACACAGCATAGCTTAAAAATGACAAGTAGTTTAGTCCTGGCTTAATTAATCCATGCACCAATGGATTTCTTTCGTCAATAAAAGAGAAATAAAAATTCAAATGCTGTTAACATATGAAAACAAATCTCAGGAAACAACAGAAAACAATGGAAAGGGCCATAATTTCAAACCCATTTGAATTACTGTAAGCAGTTTAAACATCAGGTTGATTGTGTGAATCTACCCATTTTACCATGACTTTTTCATGCCTTTTTTTGGAATATAAAACCTTAAGTAATAAATTTTAAAAATAGAAGATTAAAGGCAGAAGTTTTAGAACAAAACTAATACCAAAAATTTGAGTTTGTATTTTTATAGGAAAAATTATAAAGCATAAAAATGATTCACTTTACTAAAACTAAGCCAAGCTATCCATTCTCCCTATCCAATTTAATATAAAAAACTCCTGCAAACTTGATGTTGTAATGTGATGAAAAGTCTACCACGTAACACCAGCTTCTCTAGATCCATGTGTTCCAGCAAATGGGTTACTTCCCACTTTCCCACTTCTTAGTCATAAAGGAAAGATGTCCATTATTACTTAAGGACGCCTGTGACTTCAAACACTGTACTTCGGCAGGGCTCATGCTTTCTCTGTTGTCCTTGAGTTTGTTTCTACTCTCCACACTCTGCAGCTTCTGGCTGCCATAAACCTGGAACAAACTGATGTTGCCTATCGCAACACACACTTAGGCAGCAGCTGAGAGTGATGGCAAGAAAAGGAAAAGAACTTCCCAGAACATTCTGGAACATTTGGATATTCCTCTATGCAAATAATTCCCACTATCTCCTTCAGTAGCTTTCTAAAGGCCATCTGCCTGCAGAAAATAAACTGAATTACAGCATCTGGAAATTTGTAAAATTTTGTATCTGCTAAAGAACAATTTTGAAGTCCCCATGTTCAGAGGTCAGAGGTCAGTGGTTAGGTAACATCATCTCTCTGAGAGGCTCTTGCTTCCAGGGGGTGTCTTTGGTTAGTTCATGGAAATGGGGGGAGGGGGGGAGACCGGACTCAAAGCAAAGCATTCAGAATTGCCCAAGAAGGCGCCCACAGCCCAGGTGTGCTGACACACTGCAGCGTCCCAGATCCCAATGTGTTCCCAGCAGAGCCTTTGGAAGTTCGTGACATCATCCTTTGGAAAGGAGAAGGCACAGATGCAAGTCCTTGAGGCCAAAAGGGGAGTAAGGGAGCTCTCCCCAAGGTAAGGAGGCATCCTCAGTCCAGGAAAAGTTCCTAGGAGCAGCCAATTCTTTCTTACAACACCAATAATATCTCCTTTGGGTGTGGCAACAAATATGTTAGTTGAGACTTCTTTATTAAACAGCATGTTTGAATACACCAACTTTCTCTCTGGAGCCCTAAAATCTGTTCGATAATTAGTACTAAAATTTCCTTGGATTTGTTTGGATCTTAATCAAAATTTAAGTAATAAAGTTGGACAGATCCACTGGTTGCTGCCATGAATGCGTTTGCTTGGAGATTGCTATTGGCTCCCACGTGTCAGAATTAAATTAAAAACCGAGGGCTGGTAATTAGGTGTGGAGGCTGAGTGTTTCCATCCTCCCCCAGTGTGGTCACAAATGAGCCGATGAGGCTTCTCAGCTAGGACATCCAAAAGTCAGGCCTAAGAGGACAGTCATCCTCTTAAACAGTGAAGGAGACAGAGGCCAAAAAGGACGTTCTAAGATCTCAGAGTCCTTGATGCAACCAGACAACAAATACTACAGGAAAAGAACATCCCTGCTGAATCCAGGTCCCTTCCTTGTAAAAAGGCAACACTCAGGTGACAGAATGTCCAGCACAGAATCCACATGGCTCAAGGGACAACAAAACTTCCTTTAGAATCTGAAGTCCAAGCCAAAAACCAGTTCCAACAGCAGGATTTGGGCCACTACACCCTGAAAGGTTTTACTATGCCGGCACTTATATCAACGATTAAAAAGACATTTTACCACCCTGGGGCATGAAGCCCAGTGAACAGCATCAGGGCCTTCTGCTCCATAAGGTCAACCCTTGCCCAGGCAGAGTTCCACCTTCTAGAGGCACATACATCACTCAATGCAACACCCACATGTATGAGCAGAAACCACAGCAACGAAGCAGTGACCCTGAACAGAAGCTAAATTAAAGCAACAGACAATGGCCCCTTCAAGTCTGAAGGCTGAGCTAGCCCATCATCCCCAGTGAGGTCATACATTAGCTGATGTAAAAATCATAAATCACTGACACATTTTCTAGAAAACGGAGTAGGTACAGAAATGGTGAAGCCCCAGAGGCTGGCCTCAGCTGGAGGGTTAAATATTTTAAGGTGGATATTTAACTATCCATTAAATAAGAAATTGCTTATGTTTTATTAACATATGAATGTTCCATCTGACCCAATTCCATGTCATTCTTATTCTTTCTCTTTTAGCTTAGTATCATCTTTAGTAGACAAGATCTTGGAAGTCCTCTGCACCATAAGTCTCAATTACAGCCTTGACCCCCCAAAAAACCTGCCCCAGACACACACTTGTGCAGAACTAGCCCCCTGCAAGTGTAGTAACTTACAAGTGATAAACCATTCCAAGAAGTACCCTTTAGCCACCTTCACAGGCTCTTAAAATCATCTCTAAACTGAAATGCATGAATAAAATTTAAACATCAGTTACAACTTACCAAGTGCTCCTCAGCACATGCCTCCTGCTAAAATATGCAACCTACCCCCAGTCCATTTTACTCAGAATGAGAAAAAATGTGGACTTAAACATTCTCCTAGAGATTAAAGGTCAGCTGTTGGCCATTACCCTACAGATATATGACAGAACCAACCACAGTTAAATAACAAGAAATAAAGTAAAAATGGATGAGACCAGCTGGCATCATGAAGGCATTTAGTGGAGGAGTGGAAGAAACCCCATCCACCAGTACAGGTTCAGGAAACCTAAAAGCTGTTGGGCTAAAGTTTCCCAACTTTCAAGAATTTCACCAGTGACCATGGAGTTTGAGAGACATCTCGTCATCAGTCAAGTCATCAGTTAACCACCATGCACAGCACATCGCCCCCGCGGCCATTCTAGGCAGGTAGAAGACAAATGCAAGAACCAGTTACGTTCTTGGTAACTCATACAGGCACTGTCTGATCCATGTGCTACACAATTCAGTAAAGCTATGAAATTGGAGGAAAGGGAAGTTATTTCCAGGTAGAAGAGTCAAGAAAAGCTTCCTGGAAGAAGAGAAATGTGGTCTGGGCTTTGAGGGATGGGTAGGACATTAAAGGGGTTGATGAAGACTCTTTGAGTGGGGTGCATTACAGGTGAAGCAAAGGGTAGATCACTCAGAGAGCCTGAGAATCCCTGGGTGGAAGGAAGAGCTATCTTGGCTAAAGCCACGCTGAGTCAGAGCAAGAATGTCTGGTACCCCCGCCCTGGGGCCAGATGAATTAACAGAAACCCCAACCTTAGGGCCCACAGGAGTTCGCAGGTGTGTGGACTGAACAAGGATAGGACTGAACAAGGACAGGCGAAGCAAAGCAACTCTTCTAAGGTGGAAAGTCAGGGCTGGAGTGCGGCAAGAATCACAGGTGGAAAAGGCTGGCCTCACACTCAAGTGCAAGGAGAAAAATAAGAAAAGCAAGCAGAATGGGTTCCAAGTGGGAGGCTGAGGGGCCGGGAGGGGCAGCGCCAGGAGTGGGTGGGCCAGCCGGCAGCCTGACACGGGCTCCAGCACAGGGCCAACGGCAGGAAGGCTCAAAGGAGCTGCTTCAGGACAAAGCAAACACTTAGAGAACATTAACTCGAGGAAGAGATGAGGCTTCACCCAAAGGAAGAAGGAGTCCGTGGAGGGAGGGCCAGCATGGGGTTTGGGAGAATGAATATCATCGCTCTTCAGAGAACAGACAAGGAGGGGAGCCCCCAGGGGCCTGAAGCTCTACAGGAGAACTTTGGATTTTAAATGTTTTTTAAAAAAGACTATAGATCATAGCCCATATTTGTAAAACATTAGTTGTATAGAAACAGTCTAGAAACTGAGCCTGTACTAAATAAGGAATGGATGTCTTTGAACTTAATACTACAAACCATGAGAATCAGTATTCTCTCACTAGGAATTAAAATAAAAAATAAGTACAGGGTATTACTGTTGCTTGCTCATTGGTCCAAAGGCCCTGGTTCAGTCGGGAGGAACGGTCTGAAGAATCCACCACCCAGAGGTGAACGGCGGTGAAGGCCATCTGTTCACTCTCTGTGTACACACTGCTCCCCTTTCCGACACTGTCCCGAACTTTGCTCTTCCTGTGTTGTCCCCTCTGACTGTCTGTCTCTGTCGTTCCTTCACATACATGTGCTGCGCTGGAGAAATCACAGCGGACTTTCAGGTTAAAGGAAGATGCTGCCTGAAAGAAAGGCAGGCTCCCGTGGGCTGGGGCTTATCAGAAACCCCCAGCCATTCAATAAGAGAAAAGAAGGGCTGGCAGTAAGAACAGAGGATGAGACGTGAAGGTAAAAATGATAGAGGGGAGAGGAGATGACGGCAAAGGGAGGAAGGACGCGTGAGAAGAGGAGGGGGGGAGAGAGAAATGCGCAGGCAGCAGCCTGCAGAGGTAGACACCTGGGTGCTCGGAAAGGCGCGAGCTTCCAAGGACATAAGCAGCTACGGGCAGGCTGGGCTGCAGGCAAGCAGGAGGGAGCCTCTGCTCCCAGCTGCCCCCACATTCCTGAGCAAAAACGCCAGCATTCAAGAAAGCAATGTGAATAGGAAAAGCAAGCTGGGCATAAAGCCTGAGGTTGATGACGAAAGGGTAGGTAAAAGGGAGGCCTGTACGTGCCATTCCAG